TTAACCAGCCTCTTTTCCCAAACCAGATCCAACTGACTCCATCAGAGCGGCGCAGATGGAAGCTGCCATCTCATCTCTGCCAGGATGTGTTGCTCTCGCTCCTATCATGAGCACAAAATTGACAAAACCACTGCAAACTGAAGGGCTGGAAGAGCAGCTGGAGGAGCTGCTGAGAAGAAGACACAGCCATAACATAGGAAGTCAGAAAGCACCAGCGATTCCCCGTGGTGACCCTCCATATGGGCTCCCTTGATGCATCCAAGAGCCCATGACAGAGGCCGCCTCCTGCAGCTGCCACAAGCAGTGCTGCTCTGCCGGTGATGCTCCACCCGAGCACCCTTCCATCCCTCTCCATCGCCCCTTCCTCTGGGCCCCACTGACTATTCCCAGCAGCAGAGCTTGCAACTGTGACAGGCAGCCTTGGGCCAAAATGTTGTGGTTATGAAAGCATGGCAAGAGGTTTCCTGTTTCTGAGCTACTTGGCTCCCACCAAACCTCATATGGCTCCGGTGGTTTCTAAAGGGGACTCCCTAGAAACAATTCTCCTACCTGTCCTGGTGCCCCATGAGATCAGGACTGGTGTTACTGCAGTAAAAATAGCAGAGCTATTGCTCATGGTAAGGCCACCATCATATTCAGGCATGCAACGGAGTTCCAGCAACCCCATACACCCATCTGCCCCAAGAAGATGCCACCCTGATGCCAGAGGCAGAGCGTTGGGTCTGCTTGCACGGTGTGGAGGGAAAGCACATCCAAGAGAAGTGCTCCCCTCCACAGCTGAAAACCCAAGACTTGTTTGGAGTTGCCCGGACTTGTCCTACATCACTGAGATCCTGCACTCAGAGTCAGGGGTCCATGGAAAGCAAGTGAGCAGAGAGGCTCTTCGGTGACAAGACCGAGATTTTCTACTGCAAATCTGAGACTTCCATCTGTACCTACCTCACAAAATTGTACAGGTCTGCTGATGGGAAATGTTGGAAATTGTTGGAAAATTGTTGGAAATCTTTTCCAATACTGGAAGAGAAAGAGGTGGTGTAGGAGGAGCCTTGAGTGCCTGACTGCCAGTCTAGTACTAGCACTTCTCCAAGTGCTGCATAGTGGTGATGGAAACAGCTGTGAGAAGAGGGATATAACCAAGTCTGTGGAGATACCTCTGGCTTCTCTAGGAATGGGGCACATGTGTCATGCCGAGGACAGGCACAGACTGGAGGGGTCTAGAGCCCTCACTTGTAATATCAGAGCTGCATCTTGCATTACAGAGATGGCCTACAAGTGTTAAGTACAAAAGGGACCAGCAGTCACTTGCAGCAAGGTCAAGCTCCCGCAACAGAGCATGGTGGTTCCTGCGTCCACTGCAGAGCTTTTTATCTGCTGGCACTCCTGCCCTGGCAGTGATGCTCGGGCGAGGACAGCTCTTCGGAGATGCCTGGCTCATTTCCTGCCCTCTTCCATTGTTTGGTTTGCTCGTTTGTTTGTTTGCTTTTTCTGAATGCTCTCAATTAGGACTGATTGGGAAACTGCAAATGCCACGTTTTTTGCTGGAAAATGTTGATTCATCAAAATCAGCACTTCCCGCAGGACCGGACTGGTTTTAGCAAGGCAGGATTCAAAGGGATGAAGGGACGCAGGAGGTTCAGGTGCCCGTTCTGCAGGCATCAGGGCAGGGATTTCATCCTCTGCGCCCGATTGCCCAAAACCACATGCTAACCGCCAGGCTCTGGGCTACCACGGTGTGGACTCATCTCCTTCTGCTGAAAAATTTCAGGAGGTTTCAGCAAATGCAGAGTGGGAATTGTTTTGAAATCTTAAGATGGGGCAGGACCATCCTTTCCTACCCAGCTCAAGACGCAGTCTGCTATTTTCTCGGCAGGTTTGGATGTTAGATGAGATGGGGGTCTGGACACACTAGGGGCCCAGCTGGTGATTACTTAGGGCTGGAGCAGAAGAGAGAAGGATGAGTAGCAGAAAGGGGCTGTGATGGACATTCCCCACCATTCCCCCGCCTTTGTGCCTCCTGGGAAAAGGAGTCAGCAGGTCCCTTGGTGGAGAAGGGAAGAGGAGGGAGTGGTAACCACCTAGGGTCAGGGAGGGAAGGATGGCCCCACGTCTGCTTTGGGGACCCAGGCAGTCTGAGCTCTCTGCAGAGCACATGCAGCTGCCATTGCTCCCTTCCTCACCAAAGCAAGAGCTGTCCTGGAGGCGTACGGCATACGGTAAGCTACACTGCTCTCTGGGAGGTGCAGGAGAAAATACTGCATCAGTTTAAAAGCTGTAGAAAACCTAAAAAAAAAAGTCCTTATGAATACACTTTGCTTTCCAGAACTGAAAATAACACAAAGGGCCAGCTCTTCACTTTTTAAAAGCTGCAGCAAGGTGAAGGCCAAAGGAGAACAAAGGTACGTTTTCCTCTTTTTTCTGGGTCTCCAGGGAAGGAAACCTGAAGGTAACCCTACACACTTTCCACACTGGAGCACACAGCTCCTTGGCTTGCAAACGTGATGCTGCCGGCTTGCTGACCCTGCCTGCAGCAGGGCGGACAGCTTTAGACCCCTACCCCACCCAAACCTGAGGATGTGCAACAGCCCAGCGTGTCCCTAACTGTGGGCCAGGATGGGATTTCTTTATAAAGCCCCCCTCAAACCCCTGTGCCCTCGCCCAGGCCATTCCCTGTTCTCAGATGTGCTTGGGAGATGCCAGATCTTATGAATTCCTGCAGAAGTGACTCAGGGACAGGGAATGCTGCATCCATTGACCTCCCTCCCCGCTCCTCCTCCTGCAGGGCTTTGCATTGTGATCTTTGGGAGAAAATGCATCCAGCCCCCTTTATTCTGACTCAGCAGTTGCTTTGAAGTGATTTTTGTGGTAGCGGTGGGGCATCATGCCCGGCTAAAATATCTTGGCTCTGCTACTCTCGCAACAAACTTCCAAAGGTCTCATGCTAGCGGTGGAGGGCAATTTGAAGAGAATGCAAATAAAGGCTTCGGTTCATTCATGCTGCTTGAATAGAGAATTGAAAGCTGAGCCACAGAGGGGATTGCAATACAAATTCTTTGGGCTGCTGAGTTGTTAACACTGCCTAGAAAAGAAAGGACCAAAGTTGCCCCTGTTTCCCGCGCACATGAACCCTTACTCAAAAGGGCTCTGCTCCGGTTTT